GCATCCCAGCACCTAGCACCATGCTTTGACCATTATTTCTTTTTTAAAACTTGAAAAGATTTATGATTTTATTGGCTTGGATCTTTTCATGGAGATCATAATCTTATCACACTTTAGAAGATGTTTCATATAAGTTGCTTTTGCCAAGAAATTAATCATCCCCTAATGATCAATCAATCAGCATTTATTAAGCATTTGCTATATTTGAGGCATTACAGCAAACAATGGAAATACAAAGGCAAAGATGGAGCACCTTAACCTCAGTAAGCTTACATTCTATCAGGGGAAACATCGTGTACATATCTGAGATTATACAAAATAAATGAAAACTGAATACAAAGCAGTTTGGGGAGGAACAGCCCTAGAAGTTGAAAGAATCAGAAAAGGTTTCATGTAGAAGGTAACACTTGAACTGAGTCTTGAAGGAAACTATGGATTCTAATAGACTGAAGTGAGGAAGGAATGAATTTCAAGAATAGGAGACATTCAGTGGAAGGACACAGAGGAAGGAACATCATGGTAAGGAACAGCAAGACCAATATGGCTAGACCATGAGTGTGTTTTTGGGAGCACTATGGAAAAGTAAAGACATTGTGAAGGGCTTTAAATGTTAAAGGAATTTATATTTCCAATGGCTCTCTCTGTTGCCTCTGAGCCACTGGAGTTTACTGAATAGCATGTTAACATGGTCAGACCTGTACCCTAGGAAAATCACTCTTGCTCCTACATGGAGAATGGATTGTATTGGGGAGGGGCTTGAGGTAGCCACTCCATATTTAACAAGGCTTATCCTGGAATAACAAATATTTCCAGGTTTTTCTAAAGTCTGCCTGCTCATCATTTCTTATGGCACAATAATATTCCATTACATTCACATACCACAACTTGGTCAGCCATTCCACAATTGATGGCTATCCCCTCAACTTCCAATTCTTTGCCACCACAAAAAGAGCTGCTTTAAATATTTCTGTACATGTGAGGTCTTTTCCTGTTTTTATCATCTCTTTGGGATGCAACCCTGGAAATGGTATTGTTGGGTCAAAGGGTATGCACATTTTTATAGCCCTTTGGGCATAGCTCCAAATTGCTCTCCAGAATGGTTGGATCATTTTACAACTCCACCAACAATGCATCAGTGTTCCAATTTTCCCACATCTTCTCCAACATTTTTCATTTTCCTGTTTTGTCATGTTAGTCAATGTGATAGGTGTGATGTGGTACTTCAGAGTCATTTTGATTTGTATTTCTCTAATCAATAATGATTTAGAGCATGTGTTCGTATGACTATAGATAGCTTTAATTTCTCCATTTGAGAACTGACTATTCATATCTTTCGACCATTTATCAATTGGGCAATGACTTGTATTCTTATAAATTTGGCTCAGTTCTCTATATATTTTAGAAATGAGGCCTTTATCAGAGACACTGGCTATAAAAATTGTTTTCCAGCTTTCTACTTACCTTCTAAACTAGGTTGCATTGGCTTTCTTTGTGCAAAAACTTTTCAATTTAATATAATTAAAACAATCCACTTTGTATTTCATAATGTCCTCTATCTCTTGTTTGGTTATAAATTCTTCACTTCTCCATAGGTCTGAAAGTCTATTTCTTTCTCTCCTATTTTGCTTATAGTATCAGTCTTTATATCTAAATCCTATACCCATTTTGACTTTATCTACGTATACAGTGTGAGATGTTGGTCTATGCCCGGTTTTTGCCATACTATTTCAAATAACAAATACAAAGACCATTGTTGGGACAATCTTAGAAGAACCTACAGGTATTTGTACTTCACTGACATAACTTATGAAGGTCCAGAGTCATCTTCATGAAACATTAGAAGACCCTGATGTGAGGACTTAATAAACATTTGCTGAACTGTGTATGTGTGTTAGAAACAGAGACAGAGACAAAGATATAGAGAAGAAAAGAGAGACAAAGAAGAGAGGAGGAGGAAGAGGAGGAGGAGGAGAGAGAGACAGAGAGTGAGAGTGAGAGAGACTGACAGAGACAGAAAGACATTTAATATCCCCCTTTGGGAGCAGGAAGAGAGACTATACCTATGATTTTATCAATACAGTGAATGTCCCATGCAAAATTTTTCTCATCAAATACAGAATAGTATCTGCCTACAATTTATAGTCTTAGAGAGTTGTCTGGGGCATTGAGAGGTTGAATGATTTTCTTAGGGTCCTCCAACCAGTATGTGTCAGAGCCAAGACTTGAATCCAGGTATTCCTGAATCTGAGGCCTGTTCTCTATTCTGCATGCCACACTGAATCTATATTCCATATATTATGGATATCTAAAATTACAAATATCAAATTTACATTTCTTGTTTGGTCATAAACTCTTCTCTTATCCATAGATCTGACACGTACATTTTTCATGTTCCCCTAATTTGCTTATTACATCACCCTTTAGGTCTAAATTATTTATCCATTTTGATCTTACTTTGCTATACAGTGTGAAATGTTGGTCTGTGCCTACTTTCTGCCAAAGTGCTTCCCAGTTTTCCCAGAAATTTTTGTCAAATGATGAATTCTTGCCCCCCAAAGCTTGGAACTTTGGATTTATCAAATTCTAGATTACTGTGGACATTTACTACTATGTATTGTGTAACTAATCTATTCCATTTATCCATCACTCTATTTCTTAACCAGTACCAAAGTGTTTTCATATTTACTGCTTTGTAACATAGTTTAAAATCTGGAACTGCTAGGCTGCCTTCCTTCACATTTTTTTCATTGATTCCCTTGATATTATTGATCTTTTGTTCTTCCAGATGAATTTTGTTATATTTTCCTAGCTTTGTAAAATAATTCTCTGATCATTTGATTGGTGTGGCAAACTGGCAAAATGATATGAGACTTTCATTCTGGATTTCTCTTCCTTTTTACTATAGGTTACAGACCAAATCTGTAAGATAATACAGAAACTCTTTTTCTTCATTATCCTATTACATCAAGGCTTAGTGCTAATTAGATTATTTGAAGTGTACTCATTTATTACTGATAATTTTACTGATTATTAAAACCTACCAGTTCCTAATCAAAGCTTTTTATAAATGCACATAATTGCTTCTAAGAATACTACCCTTTACCCCACATTTCAGTACACTGTAATACTTAGAGAAGGATGCATGGTCTAAGAGGAGAGTGAACTATATGTACATAAATATTTATAATAGCTCAAATATTTATGCAGCTCTTTTTATAATTTGAAAACTAAAGGGGTACCTATCAGATGGAGAATGATTGAACAAGTTGCAGTACAGGAATGTAATACAACCTTATTTGGTTATGAAAAACAGTGAAAAGGATGGTTTCAGAGAAACCTGGGAAGACTTTTAAGAACTGATGCAAAGTCAAGTGAGCTGAACCTGAAGAATAATTTGTAAAATAACAACATATATAGAGAAATGAATGACTTAAAAATATTTTATTTCAACATACAACATTTTGCTAATGTCTAAAGCTGTCATATAAAAGAAAAAAGTCCTAGAAAACAAACTTTCATCTACACACTTATTTTAAATAAACAATTTTTACATAGGAACAAAATCAAAGACATCAAACATAGCCTATTACAACAAAGGACATTCTGAAAGGTTAGAATTCTTAAATAAATCAGTTTCTGGTATAGCTGCTGCCTTGTTTTGTCTCTGTGTTATAGAGATAAAACTAGAGTGGAGTAATAAATACTTTACCCCAGGGCACTGAAATTTAGAGGCCTGTAGCACCACTGAGACTCCTTATGTCATAGAAATAGAAATATACCTCTTAATGAATAATTGGTCAAAGTAAGAAGTTATCAGATGGTACACTTTCAAAGGAAAGTCTCTATTGCTAAGGCCTTGCATCTCTCTACTCTGCTTCTCAACTGAATTCCTCTTAAAAAGTTAATTTGAGAGACTATTTCAAACCCTGAGCCATTTTGTGTGATTTGTCTTGGGCATCAAACTTTCTGGTTATGATTCTAGCTAGTCAAAACTCCATATAACAACATAAGCTTAAATGTAGAAGACAATATATATGTATATAATAAACAATTATTAACACTCCATTTGTATTCTTTTGAGAGGAGGGATTGTTTCATTCTCATTTTGCATCCCTAGCTATTAACATAGTACTAGGTACATAGCAGGCGCTTAACAAAATAAACGTTCATTGATTGATTAATGTAGGTTAAACAAAAGAGAGGGTTTTTTAAAACATATTTTAATATTACTCAAGATGTAGTACTTTTAGACATATGTAGTTAATGGTATAGCCATGACCTTCCCCTCTCTGAGACTTAGTTTCCTCATCTGTAAAATGAACACTTGAATTATATACCTTACTGATTTATTGTGCAAAAAAAAAATGTAAACCTTAGCACTAGAGAAATATAAGACAGTGCTGGAGTATTTATACGGAAATGACTAGAATTAGGAATTTCTTTGTCTCCAAAGGAGTAACACTGAACAATGAAAACAAAAACAACTCTGATATATTGGACCATAAACACTTGGAAACAGATACTCTCTCTCAAAATACTCCCCACCCCTCTCAGAATACTGAAGTACAATCACATCTGAATTTTAATAATACTGTGTATTAGGGTGGGAAAAGTGTTGGCTGTGGAGACAGAGGACTTGAGCCAAATTTCACTTCTGATAATTAATGCCTATGAGACCTTGGGCAAGTCATGTAAGTTCTCTGCTTCTCTGTCTTTATTTTGTCTTTTTAAAAAAAAAATAAATGAGTCCAGTAGATTAGCTGCCTTCTGAAGTCCCTTCCAACTCTAAATGTATTAACTAATAATAAAAATCCCACGAAGTCCCAACTAAAATTCACCTTCTACAGGAAGTCTTCCCTAACCCCTCTTAATTCCAATGTTTTTCCTCTTAATTATTTCCTACTTATCCTGCATATAGCTTGTTTTGTTTATATTTGTTTGCATGTTGTCTCTCCCAGTAGAATGTAAGTTCATTGAGGGGGTTTTTTGAACTCTTTTTGTATCTAATGCTTAGCACAGTTCCTAGCAAACAGTAGGTAATTAAGAAATGTGTATTAAATGAATGAATGCTTTGAAATCATAGGCTGGAATCTGGTAGTGAATAAGTGAGGGGTAAACTAGGTAGTTGGACAGATCATAGCACTATAGATTTAGATCTGGAAAGCATCGTTTTGGCAGGATTCAAACCAAAGTTTTTCTGATTACGAGTTCAGTGCCTTAAACAAAACTTAAGCAGGAAAAAAAAATTAAAAACAAAAACAAAACACATGCAGATAAATTTTCTTTCCCACTTGTTGGAAAGATCAATTCAGCCAAATAACAGGACATTATTTTCATTAAAGTAGTTATATTATCCTTAGAAAGTCATTCTGAACAAAAATGGGTCTAGTTTACTAGTTTTTCTGACAGTGTCATTGCTACCTCCAAGCAAAAGCCTACCTAGTTCCACACAACTATCTACTGTGGAGAGTATTCCATAATAGCCATACGCCCCCTTGTGATCATACTGGGTGCTGCAAGAAGCATTCAAGTCCTGTTAAGCTTTCCTATTTGTCTCTTTAACATGTATCATACGGCAGTGTCTGTGGTTGCTGGTTTCTGCCTTTGCAAAATGAAGGTGTTAGAACAGATGACCTGTAAGGTCTAAAATCCTATGGATCGTCTGCATGATAAAAAAATATGATGTCGTTCAGATGTAATTCAGAAACAGGATTACAATGCTGAAAAAGATGAGCACTCATTTATCTTCAGGATTCCCTTTTCATGTGTGCCAACATTTTCATGATCTTCACCAGTCCAGCTTAAGGTCTGCTTTACTCCATTTATACTTTCCTCCTCGCTTTAAAAACATTTTTCATCAAAGCCACTGAATTTTATGGCCTCTTCTACTCCCACATCCAGAATTGACTTAGAAGGATCCTTTCGGCCCTTTGTACAATCCAGAAAGCGCATCTAGAAAATTTATGATAGAAAATTAGTACACGCTGAAATGCTCCTATCACCTACTATCTCTAACACTTGATAAGGGCCTAACCACCCTCGGCTTTACATGTGTTGTTGTTTTTCCTTCCTTTTTTCCCCCCAACAGTTCTTAGTATAATGCCTGTCACAGAATAGGTATTTGATAAATGCTTGTTGACTAAGTATATAGTGAGGTTCTAAGAGTCCTAAGCCTGTACTTTCACTGGTTGGATTACATAGTGCCTATATTGTTATTTAGTTGGAAAGACAAGAGCAGAAATCTTAAGTTCCTTGTCGGTAGAGGCTATGACTTTGTGTTCATCACTAGGTCTGACACAGTCCTAGCACTTAGTAATAGTAATTCAACAAATTTCTGTTGAATTGAAATGAACTAACATCTCCAAATCCACATTTTGGCTCAGATGTGATTTTCAGAAAGCAAAGTGGTGATCTAGCAGTTCATTTGGCTGCTCTAAGAAAACTCAACAGCTAAATGAGAGATTCAGAACCACGAAAAGAATCGTTAAACATTAGTGGCAGAAGGGAACTTGAGGACCTCTAGTCCAATCCATTTACTTACAGATGGGAAGGCTAAGACTGAGAAAGGTGGAATCACTTGCCCAAGGTTACCCAGACAGTTAGTGGGGAAGGCCAGGTCTATTGACACCCAGGCCAATGCTCTTTTAACTATCCCAAAGAAATTATTTTGCCCTCCAAAATAAAAATAAAAACTCCACTTTTGAATCATGCAGATTGGCTCTCTACCATAATCAGTTTTACTGAATAATTGCCAAAGCACTACTCTATCACTACACAGTCTCAATCCTAAAATGGATTCTGACGAATGTAAAACAAATTAGTTTTAAAGAAAGCTAAAAAAAAATCCTTTGTCACAGCGAACATTTTCCATAAACAACCACAAGTGGATATTTGGTTTGACAAGAAATAATTACTCATTAATATATCATTCTTTTAGAAATATGAACTACTGCTTAAGAAGCACTCAAAAATATATGCATGGCTTAGCTCATTAAAATACAAGTATAGTTGTGCTTAACTGCTGATTTGCAAAGCAATATTATTTTTATAACTTGTTGACTTACATATTCATCCAGAATGAGGTAAGAATCTTTCATCTGCAATGCAAAAGAAAAAAAATCATCAAAAATTTAATTTCAAATGTTTTTTTTTACATGATCCACTAAAGTGTTATTCAAATGCTCCACTGCAGCATGGCGATGACCTGCAGTCCTTGAAGATTATGTCAGCAGACAACGAGCTGTCAAACCTACCACACTGGCAATATTTCAGCACAAGCCTGGTGACAGCCTGTCTATGACTGAGGTCCAGAAAGGATCCCCAGTGAAAGGATGACTAACAAATGGTGAATCTTTGGATCATGGCAAATTTGAAGGGTCAATGTCAGTGGAAAGAGTACCCATGTGGATGAACTAGTAGATCTTTGAAAGCATATTTGTCATAGACTCATAACACATTAAAGCTAGAAGGTCATTAAGTCCCACCTCCTGGTTATACAAACAAGAACATGAAAGCCCTGAGTACTCTGCCCTGATTGGGTCACATCTGGGGTTTTGTTTTCGGTTCTTAGTACCATATTTTAGAAAAGACATTAAAAACTGGAAAAGAATTTGAAGCATGGTGAGGTACCTGGAGATCATCCCATATGGGGATTGGTTGAAATAGAACTATCCTTAAAATAAATATAAAAAAAAGAAAAGAAATATAACTATCTTTGAGTATTTGAAGGGTTGTTAATGGAAGAGGGATTAATCTTACTCTGCTTGGCCACAGAGAACTGAACCAGAAACAAACGGTAGAGAGTTTTGAGAGGCAACTTTTGATTCCACATCGGGAAATAGTTCCTAACAATTAGAGCTATCCAAAAGTTAAATGGGTTGCTTTGGTGTAGCCATGGGCAGTAGCTTCCCCACCAAAATTTAGAGTGGAAGGGGATCTCAGAGGTCATTTAGTCTTATTCCCTCATTTTACAGAGGAGGAAACTGAGGCTCAGAGAGGGAAAGTAGCTTGTCCTGGGTTATGCAAGTATTAAGTATTAGCAGAGCCAGGATTCCAGACCAGATCCTCTGACCCTAAACCCAGCATCTGTTACACTGCACTATCACTGCCACATAGCAGAAAATACAAGATCACTTTTCAGGAATACGGTGAAAACAGGATTCCTCTTATGGTTAGTTGAATTAAATGACCTCTAAAGGCCTTTCTAACTTGGAGATTCTATGAAGTAATAATTTGTATATGTTCATACAAATACTTAGAGCTAAGAGTAAAAGAATAATAATAGCATTTTAAGGTTTACAGAGAACTTTACAAATAACTCATTTGAATCTCACAACAACCCTGGGAAGTAGGTGCTATTGCAGATAGAGGTTAAATGATTTGCTCAGGCCACTTATCTAGGAAGTGTTTGAGGCTGGATTTGAACTCAGGTTTGATAAAGTCTAATACTCTATCTACTTCTCCACCTCTATGTCTGTCTGTCTGTCTGTCTCTCTCTCTCTCTCTCTCTCTCTCTCTCTCTCTCTCTCTGTCTGTGTCCCTCTCTCTGTCTGTCTCTGTGTATGTATCTCTGTCTGTCTCTCTGTTTCTGTCTCTGTCTCTATCTCTGTCTCTCTCTTACACATACGCACACACACACATACACACACATATACACATGCTATTTATACATATATATTCCCACTAGATCATAAAGGAAAATCAAAAATTCCTTTCAAAATATGTGAGTAGGTCTTCTGGGACTGAAAAGAAAAAGTCTCGTAACATGTACTGCTAAAAGACAAAAGCTTAAGCTCTCATTTCAAAAGAACTTTGTCATTTATGTGAGGCCACAGAGAGGAGAGATTCAAATAGAGTTCCTCAGACCCTAAGTCCACTTTCCCAAGGTTGAGTGGAACGAATTTGAGGATTTGGAATCTAAAGCCCTGGATTCAAGTGCTGGCTCTGCTACTTCCTACCTATATCACCTTGGGCAAAACTCTCCTGCTCACTGGGCTTCAATTTCCCCACCTGTAAAATGAGAGGCTTGGACTAGATGACTTCTGAAGTCCCATCCAGAATAAAATCAATGATCTTCTAAAATTTTTTTTCTTTGTGCTTAATCTAAATCTCTGGCAGTAAAAGGAATCACTTTTCTTCATCATTACCTTATTATTAGATTCAGGTACCAAACAGGAGACAGCTTTATGCCGGTCTAGGAATTTTTCAAAGTCCTCATCACTAATAACAAAGCGCTCTGCTTCTCTCAGGGCATCTTCCCCAGCATTCTCCCCCTCAATGATCAGGCACTGGAACACCTGAAAGGCATCGCATTGTCATTGTTTTCTTCAAAGTACCTTTCATTATTAAGGAATCAGAGCTCTCTCCTGCAGCTCACTTTCCTCTCTCCTTTACACACAGAATTCCCTTTGAATTAAACAAAAGTTTGTTACACAGAAAAGTCACTTCAGGGACATATAAGTAGTTCCTGTAAGGTCTGTAAAGAAGGAAGAATTTCACCCAGCAGCAGAAGCATTCAACAGATACTTTAAATAACATTAATTATTATTCATATTTATATAGCATTTTAGGTTTATATATCTCTTATTTTTATACATATTCCAGGAAGTGGCAGATAGGTTGAATGTAAATTTCAACTAATATAATTTTTAGATCTGCTTAAAGAGAATGTGCAAGGCACTTACGTGAGGTGATGGGGATACAAGGACAAAAAAGAAGCAGTGAAAGAGTTGCAGGCTTTAAGGGGAGACAGTGCATACAAATATATGCAAAATTAATAAATGAAAAGTAATTGGGGGGAGGCACTAGCTTCTTGGGGGAATCAGAAAAGATTTCATGTAGGATGTGGAGCCTGAGCTGAATTTTAGAGGCAACTAGTGATTCTAAGGGGCAAGTAGGTGGCACTGTGGATAGAGTACTGGGTCTGAAGTCAAAAGACTCATCTTGCTGAGATCAAATCTAGACTTAGACATTTACCAGCTGTGTGACCCTGTGTAAGTCACTTAACCTTGTTTGACTCAGTTCCTCATCTGTAAAATGATCTGGAGAAGGAATGGCAAACCACTAAAATATCTTTGCCAAGAAAACCCCAATGGGGTCATGAAGAGTTGACTGTGACTGAAATGACTGAACAATAAAAAGTGATTCCAAAAGGTAAAAATGAGGAAGGAAGGCATTTCAAGCATGGGGGACAGCTTATGTAAAGGCATGGGCATAGGAGGTGGAAAACTATGTAAGGAATAGCAAGAGCTCCAGTTTGGTTGGATTGTAGATTATATGAAGAAGACTGTTTAACAAGGCTAGAATGGTAGGATGCCATCTGACTGTAATGGCCTTTAAATGCCAGAGGAGTTTGTATTTAATCCTAGAGGAGATAGACAGTCTTTTATTAAGTAGGGGGGACTGAGGCACTCAGATCTGTGCTTTAGCAACATAACTGGCTATTGTGAAGAGGATAAAGGGGGAGAAGCTTAAGGTAGGAAGTCACATTAGGAGGCTGTTACAATAGCCCAAACATAAAAGTAATCTGTATATTTTAATAAAAGATTCTATGCTTAATGGAAGAGACAAAATAAAATTACATATTTGTGGCAAAGTTTACTTTTTAGCAGACTATAAGTGAGCCCTTTCCAAGTTGATAATTATTGAATTTCAGAGTCTGGATGGATCATAGGATCATAGGATCACTGAGAGTTGGGGCATGAAAGGACTCAGTGATCATCTTGTCTAAACCCATTAGATCATAAAGAAGTCTCTCATTCCATCCAAGGAGAAAAGAGTGCTTTAATGTCTCATATCTTTTAAACCACTAAAAAAAATGCCCCAACATACCCACTCCTTTTTTCCCCTGGATGCCATGACCTCTGCATTGTGGCCCTAGTTCTGACCTAGTGAATTCTCTTTGGCTGATGATAATCTCCTGAGTCTAAAGTTCTATATTTCTTGATGTGGTAAGTGGGCCAAATTGGGGTAGAACAGAGACCCAAGTGTCATTTCATATTGAAGGACAATCATTATTTAGTTAGCTGCCAATCTCATTAAACCCTCTACTTTAAGAAGTAAGAGATCATTCCCTATTCCTCCCAAATATTAAAGACCACCACCTGAGTATTTCTTTGAAGATGTGGTACTTGAATATACTTTCTCCTAGCATTACCAGTTCTCAAATTATCTTATAAAGCAGAATCATGAAGACTACTAAGTATTGGCTTAAAAAAACACAAAACAAAACAACAAGAAAATACGGAGGAGAGGAATAATCTAGATAAGCAAGATTTGAAACCAGTCTAATTCACTGACACAGTATTCAATAAATCAGTGAAAATAAATTACTTCATGAAGAGCTCCCCATATGACTGCTGGGAGAACTAGAAAACATCTTGGCAAATCCTAGGTTCAGACCAACATCTTATGCCAAACACTCTAATAAGTTCTAATTGGAAATATGTGAGCAAAAGGTTACACTACAAAGAAAAAAGATTGGAGAAAAATAGATTGATGCCATCTTTCACCACTATGGCTAGGTGTGGTAGAGAATTCTTAATCAAATAAAGTTAAAACAAATAATTTCAGTTATATGAAACTGAAAAGCTTTTGGAGAAACAAAATCAATGCAGCAAGGATAAGAAAGGAAACTGTCAACTGAGAAAAATATTTGCATCAAATATCTTTGGTAAGGACCTGAAGTTATAGCTATATGAAGAGTTACCGCAGACACATAAGACCAAAAGCCATGTTTTACTGGATTAGCAGTCAAAGGATGTGAATAAACAGTTCTCTAAAAAAAGATTTACAAACTATTAAAAACTGCAGAAGATTAGGTTTATATATTTAGAGCTGGAAGGGACCTCAGAATTCCAGTAGTTCACCTCCCTCATTTTATGGATGAGGAAACTGGGGCCCAGAAAGGTTAAATGATTTTTACCTTGGTCAAACAAGGAGTACACAGCAGAGGCAGAATTTAACCAAGGTCATCTGCCCCTAGAGTCAGTTATTTTCCCCCCATTGTATCAGTAGTCCTCCAAATCATTAACAATAAAGAGATAGGCAAATTAATACAACTCCATGGTACTACCTTATGTCCCCAAAGCTGACTAAGATGATAAAAGATGGAAAGAATCAGTGGTGATGGGGTGATGGGAAGATTGCCACTAACACACTATTAGAGCAATCCAACCATTCTAGAAAGCAATTTAGAATTATGTTTTTTTTTTCAAAAGTAGTTAAAACACACATATTCTTAGACATAGAGATCTCATGGCTAAGAAGGGAGTCTGAGGAGATAAAACAACAGAAAGGTCCCATATTTACCAAAATATAGATAGCAAATTTTTAATATAGTAGCAAATACTTAGAATCGAAGTAAATGTCCAACAATTTGGAAACTGCTAGACATATTATGACATATTCGAATATAATAGAATATTACTGCAGCATAAGAAAAAAATGAATATGAAGATAGAGAAACATGGAAAGACTTACATGGACTCATGAAGAAGGAAGCGAGCAGAAAAAGGCAAATAATATCCACAATGATCACAACAATGTAAACAGAAATAACAATAACAAAAAAGCAAATTGAACACTGTGTAAAAATACTCAGAAAAGTGCTGAGAAAATTCAACTTCTCTCATTCATTGCAGTGGGGAAGAACACAGGTGTGGAATGTTGAATATACTCTCAGATTCAGAATATGTGTTCAAATTTGCTAAACTGCTTTTATTTCCCTCTTTCTTTTTCTTTTTATTTTTTGCAAGAAAAGGATCTCCAGGTGGGGAAAGGGGTAGTGATACCTTTAGAAATTAATACAATGAAATAAAAGCATCAATAAAATTAAAAATATGCAAAATACAAGACCCTTCCCTTTTTATGCAACCATAGAACAAATCAAAGTCTTGGACACAGGACTCCATCTCCATCTTAGAGCCACCTAGAGCACTGAATGCATGAGAGACTTACCCAGGGTCCCAAATCCAGTATGTGTCAGAAGTCAAACTTGAATGTAAGTCTCTCTGGCTTTAAGGTTGGCTCCCTTTCTACTGCTCTAGGCTGCCTCATACTTTCTTATTTAGAAGAATTTATTTTCCCCTTAAGGTACAAGCTCATTTATCAATGAGCCATTTTTTTATATAAATATCATTTTTTATTAAATTTTTACATGTTGTGTGACCCTGGGTAAGTCACTGAGTCTCTCAGTATTCCAGGCTAGCAATTCTCTAAGACTGTAAGTTCATATAATGCCTACATTGTTAGATAAAGTATTTATTAAGTGCTTTACTATGAGTCAAGCACTGCGCTAAGAGCTAGGGATGCAAAGACAAGAAATTCCCTGGCCTCAGGTGCTTGCATTCTAATGGGAGAAGAAAATATATAAAGCTAGAAGGGACACTGGGGACATGGAAAATTGTGACGGAGGCCTTAGCTAGCAAAGATAAGGCCAAAAAAGGTCTACTGGAGCCCAGCATGTTCCAAAGGCTGAGTCTAAGTTTCTGGTGAAGAGGAGGTAGAGTCAAAGCAAAGGTGTTGTTCTGAATTAGGAGAGGAAGTTTTCTCACCTGGAAATTTTTTATGCCAATTAAACCACAAGTCTGGTTCCTATATCTTAAATAAAATAATAATAATAATAATAATAATAATAATAATAATAATAATAATATAATAATATAATAATAATAATTCCACACAGCCTTTCCTCTGAGATATTTGTAAGTGTTTAGCATATCTTCTAGCTTTTTTCCTCATACTCCCCCCAAGGGCTATCATTCCTGTTTTGCAAATGGAGAACCAGAGGAAAAGAACCAGAGAAAGGTCTCTGGCCTGCTGAATGGATCTTCTCTTAAAGATGTTGTGAAAGATATGGGTGAGAAGGTTTCTAGGCATTGTAATATCCACTAGGAAAACTTTAGATGGAATATTAAGAATATTTTAGATAAAGAATTAAGAATGGGTAGAGCATGATGCTTCCACACAACCAGTGAAACAACTGAAACTAGGAGCCTAGATCCCTTATCTCCAAGCTTCACTGAGCTTGAGTTGTCCCAAACCTTGCGAACAACAACCTCTCTAAAATGTTGCTTTATTTAAAAAAAAATTCTGACAAATATGGTTATGTACTTACTTTCCAGCGAACGGGATTTAAGGATTGAATCTGCTCATTCATGTCTTCTTCCACATTAAATCTGTTAATAACAGAATTGATCTTGAAAGCAACCCTGTAATCTGCACACCACCTTCTCAGCTTCCACAAATTTTCCGCATGATTCTTCTTCCCTTGTCCACGGCCAATCAGTGCATTGATTTGCTCATCAAAACTATCACATGAAATAGCAAGAATGTCTAGGTATTCACCTAGAGGGGAAAAAACAAAGTATTCACTTTTACCTTTCCGAGAACTAGGTATATAGTGAATAGCTTACAAATCTTCATCAATGTGTGTATATACATATATATATCTATGTATGCATATATATACACATACATATGTATATGTGCATGTGTATTGCATTTATATATGCATATTTCAGTGTTTATATATGCATGTATTTGTATGTACATATATAGGTGGTCATACACATATGTACACACATGTGCATATGTGAATGGTATCATAGATCTGAAAGCTAGAAGATACCTCAGAGGCCATGTAATCGGAACACCTTCATGTTCTAGACAAGAAACCTGAAGTCCAAGGTAATTTTCTACTATGTTTTCTCTCTATTCTATTAAAAAAGATTTATTTCTTTCCCAACTCCCTGAGACATAATTCATATATCACAATTGCTTTTGGTAGCCTCAGTTTGGCTAGGGAATGGACTTGTGAAGATTAGCTTGATTTAGATTCATACTCATTTGTGATACCATCATGCATATATCGGAATTTGTGCTGCATGTAAGGCAATCGTTTCTGTTGTAAATCTTCCTTTTTATGTACATATATTTTGAAAAGTATGAATAAACATGAATTTTTAAAAAAATGTGTATTGACAATGCCAAGTATCAAGTAAAGGGATGGTACCAGCTGTTGAACACAGACATAGAAGCATAGACTGTGAAAAGGTTGAAAGAGACTTCAAGATCATTTAGTCGAGGGACTCTGACATTTACTAGCTGTCTGACCTTAGGCAAATCTCTGAATCTTATATTCCTTATCTGTAAATTACGGATAACAATGACACTTACATCATAGGCCTGTTGCAGGGCTCATATGAGATCACGTATATTAAGTGCTTTGAGAAGCCTGAAGAGCTGTATAAATGTTAGCTCTTTAATTATTATCTCCAGCTGTTCTCCAATGTATCCCTCCATTCCAGTCAATCCAAACATATGACTGACCTGGAGTCATAGGAACTCCAACTCTGCTACTTACTGCCTATATGAGCTTGAGTACATCACTTCTCCTGTGTGATCTATGGGTGCTCCTCTGTATAAATAGGGGAACTAGTCTAGATAATTTGTTAGGTCCCCTCCTCTTCTAAATCCCATGACCCTATGACCTTATTATCATGTCCAAGTTTTCACCCATGTTCCTCCTATAATCCCATCTTCTACCTGAAGAGCCACAGGATTCACAGAGCTGAAGAAGGAACTTTAGAGATGATCTAATTCAATTCCCTGATTTAATTGACAGGAATTTAAGGCCAAGATACTTGTTCACTAAACAAGGCTGGACAGTGGCAAAATTGGAACTAGAGCCCACTTCTCTTGATTCCTAATTAAGTCTTCTTTCAACTATGCCATATATCGAGTTGATCATTCAAGGTGCATCTTAAGTTCCACTTGTTCATAAATCCTCTGAAGCTTTTAGTCTTGACTCATTTTCTTCTCTAAAAATGAATGGCATGGTGTAGTGGTAAGAACATTGAATTTGGAATCTGAAGACCCGAGTTTGAATCCTATCTCAGTTAATTACTTCCTGTATCTGTGTGCCCTTGGGTAAGTCACAATCTCCTTGGCCATCAGTTTCCTTGTTTTTGTGAAGAAAGGGCTTTGGACTAGATGGCCTAAGGTTCTGGAAGTTTTGATTTTTCCCCATTCTAGTTCCCTAGCACAGCTGGTCTCAGTCCTCTGGGAGAAAGGAAGAATAGACTCTAATAATAATAGAAAATAGTGTACAAAGTACCAAATATGTTAGCACATAAGAATGCCACTCACCATAATCCTTGAACCATTTCTGTCTAATCAGGCTCCCATTACTCACGATGCTGACACTGGGGAGTTTTAGTTCTTTTTTGCAGAATTTCACCAACTTGCCTAGGAATTCTCCCCTGTCATGTAGAAATGGCTCTCCTCCTGAAAAGTTAATCTTCTCCATACCTGTCAAATGGCAGAGGAAAAAAATATTTTTAATTTAAATTAAGGAAGCATTCATTATATACTTAATATATGCAAAGCCCCTGTGTCAGGGAGTCAGAATAAAAGAATGAAAAAAACCACAGCCCTTATATTCAAATAGCACACTAGGAACTATTAAACAGATAATAGCTGACCTTTACAGAGTGCTTTGTTTCTGGGTTTGTTAACTTATAAACAATCCTTCATTCACTTAGCAAACATTAAGCATCTACTATGTGCATAGAAAAAATTTACTATTTTAAAAACAATTAGACAACTTACATAATACTCATATCCATAATTACTATGCAGTATTTTTAAATTGCAAAACAACTAGCTTTAAATTTTGGTTTTTATGTGATGGGAATATAATCTTAATTCAATTAGATTTAATTATCAAATTTTTTTGGAGCAACACCTAATTCACTCATAATAAGCAGCATTGGGTAAGCCCTCAAAATGTGCAAGGCACTCTACAAGGCACCAGGAATATTTCCAGGAAACAAAGAAGTATAAGATACAGTTGTGATAGGGAGGATTGAAAGTCAGAGGACTTGTGTTCAAATTCCTTCCTTTGATACTTTCTATGTGTAATCTTGGGTTAATAGCTTAATTTCCATGAGCCTCGGTTTACTCATATGTGAAATGAGGGGTTGGCCTAGTTGCCCTCTGAGGTCCTTTTTTAGCTCCAGAGCTATGATCTTGGATCCTATCATCTTATAAACTGAGTTTTATTCCTGGCTGTCCTTCTTGACATTTGTGTAACCTTGGGCCAATCACTTAATCTTTCCATTATTCAGCTTCCTCATCTATCAAAAATATTTTTTAAAAAATTTAGATTAGAGGACTTCTAATGTTCCTTCCAGCTCTAAATCCCAAGGTCTGAAGTTTCTTCTCTCAAGAGCCTTATAGTCCAGTTGGAGGGTTAAGATGTAAATACAAGAAAGTTTGATATCATGCAATGGAATACTGGATAATAATGGATACTATGTCAAATGGAGTCATACAGACATAAGTACTAGCAGATACAAACACAGATTAAGGAGAGAATGACTTGGTCCAGAATAGTCAAGGAAAACAATGAAGAAAGTATGCCATGGCTCAGGGATGCAGGATGGAATTAAGAAATTATGTGGCTGACAGGCAATTTAGTGCACTGAGGCTAGATGGTAAGGGAATCATTTTATTAACCCTTTCTTTAACAAAATTACAGAATCTCAGACCTGGATAGGATTATAGATGACCGTCTTGTCCAACCTGTCCTTCTTCCACTCTTCCCTTCTTTCATTTACAGTTCTGTAGTCCAAATCCTTTTTTTTTTAATAGATGAGGAAGCTAAAGAATGTAAAGGTTAAGTGATTGGCCCAAGGTTACACAAATACCAAGAAGGACAGCCAGGAATAACAGTGGTTATCCAGCTCAGCTCCAAGAATTTTAGGGAGGAGGGAAGGGAATCACTGGTGACAGCCTTTTTGAATTCTGTTCAGCTCTAATTGTTAGTGTGTTTGTCCTTTCATCTAAGCAACTCCAGAAAGACTTGTCTTATAAAGGATTTATTTTTTAAGATGGAGACATTATGGAATCAGGAGACAATATGGTACCTGGATCCAATTTCCATTTCTACCACAGTCTAGCTGTGTGACCTTGGGTAAGTTATTTAATTACCTTAGATTCCAGTTTCTTCATACATCTGTAAAATGAAAGTGTTATCCTGGGCTCTCTTGGTAATATCTTCAATTTCCCAAAGTCTAATCTAAACCTTTCCAACTGTAATACCTTTGGCCTTGGGAAAAGTCAAGACCAGCCATTCATAGTTCTTCATACATCATTAATTACAGAAATCAAAAGGTTTAATGGAAGTAGTTTCCACCCTGAAAGCACCCTCCATACCACCACCCCTAAACACAAGCTAATGAAATCTCAGGTCTGGACCAAAAACATAATTATCAAAGATAAGTACAAGAATTAATCACAAAATCCTAAATGCTGGAAGTGGGACAAATATTATGATACAGCTTTTACACAAACCACATCTTCAAAAGTCTGAAAGTTAGTTAATTAAACACATAAATTTCCAAATATAAACACCGGTGATAATATTAGCTAACATACCATATTTTTTTTAGTTTGTTCTCTAGAACATCATTGTCTTGCTGGACAACAATAGCTGCAAAAGACCTTGTGAGTCTTTGAGTCTAGAAATGTAAAAGAAGCAGAAGAAAAAAACAAAGATAAAGAGCAGAAGAAAATGGGGAAAATGGAGAATAATGAATGAGGAGAGAGCAATGAGCAGAAGAATCAGTGGAAGAGGGTAGATGTATAAATAACCATTCATGAAAAAAAGCAGATCCCTTGATAACTGAGATCAGAAATGGTCCAGAGGAAGTGAAACGTTGTGAGCAATGGAACAGTCTATGAGCAGTCAGTGAAGGGACAAACAGATCTTCACATATCAACAGCACAATTGACATTTACTATGATTATCCTGAGTCATAACTAAACTAAATTATCATCAACATTCTTCTGCTATGAAGATAGGGAATTGTGTAACACATCTCAGAAAGAGCTACACCTTTGAATATTAAACATTTCTTCTTTAAAAAAATGTTTTGGTCAAAGTAGGAAGTCTAGGACAGCTAGGTGGCAAAGAGGATAGAGGAATGGGCCTGGAGTCAGGAAGACTCTCTTCAAATTCAGCCTCAGACACTAACTTGCTGTGTGACCCTGGGCAATTTACTTAATCCTGTTTACCTCATTTTCTTCATCTGTAAAATGAGTTGGAAAAGGAAATGGCAAACCACTCTAGTATCTTTGCTAAGAAAACTCCAAACAGGGTCACAAGAGTTGGACAAAACTGAAAAATGACTGAACACAACAGGAAGTTGTTTCTGTTTCTCTTATATTTCTCTGCTCAAAGCCCAACAAGCCTTTTATAGTCATCGCTGTCCAGCAAGACAGTGCTGTTCTAAAACTATCATTCTAAAATATCTCCTATTCAGGAAAGGCAACATTCTGCATGGAAAGACGGCTAGATTTGGAGTTAGAAGTTCTAGACTTAAATCTTGGCTCTACCACTTTCTGTAGGACATTGAACTAACTACTTATCCTCTCCAGGACTTAGTTTCTTCACTTTTAAATCTGAGAATTAGATGACATAGCCTTTAAGGTCCCTTCCAGCTCTAAATCCTTTGGTCCTAAGTCAGTATAACTGACTCAGAGATTCTTAACCTTTTTCTCTCCACCTTTTTTTGTATCATAGACCCATTTGGCATCTGGTATAGTCTATGGACCCATTTTCAGAATAATGTAAAATTCAAAACATAAAATACATAGGATTGCAAAGGAAACCAATTATATTGAAAAAGTTATCAAATATTAAAAAAACCAAATTCTTGGATCTTTTTAAATATACACATGTACCCCTTATGTCTATCTATAAATGCCAATTTAAAAACTTTTGGACTAGATAATTTTAAGGTATTTACCCACTCTCAAAATCAGTTTTGAAGGTATGGGTAAAATATCTGAAATATTGCTTAATTATTCCAAATAACAACTTCTATTTCAGTGATATCATCATGACTAATATTCACATTCAAACTTAATTATTAGAAGTACAGTAATATAGTATAGTGGCAAGTACATTAGACCTTGAGTCAGTGGGCTTGAGGCAAATTCTGGCTCTTTAACTTACTAGCCATGTGACTATGGTCAGTTTCTTTAACTTTCTGAACCTCAGTTTCTTCATGCGTAAAATATAATTAATGATCCTTACGCTATATTCTTCACAGGATGGTTGTGAGGAAAGTGTCTTGTCCCAGAAAGATACAGTAACTATCTTCAGTGACTAGATGCCACTTTTTATCTTTGGAGGATAGAAGTAGTCCACAGATATAAAGTCCACAGAATATAAAATTGGCCACGATTACAATTCTGTTGACACGTCTGCTTTCAAGTTTGCGTCTGCTTGTTTAACCTGGTACTATACTCATGTTGTTGTTAGAAGTTGTGTGTTCAGTGATTGGGAAGCCTGATAAAGTCAAAAATTGTTTACTGGAGGCAAATTGTTGGCTTGTAGCTTTTTAACGAAGAGATAAATAAGCCATTCTCCTGAGAATAGGCATATATATATATGTACTGTATATTCATTTGGCGGATCATTGTCCACTGCACATTGCTCAGAACACTCTGAACAGATTTAAACTCAGCCTACCACTTTCCAACCCCTAGTGCAGAGATGTTTTCTTTTTATTTGTCCTAACTTCTGCTCTCTTGAGAATTCTCGGGAAGTAAACCGTCCTCAACAAGATACCCAAAAAAAGCATTATAGACATTTCTTGCCCTAGAGTGTCCCACTCAAAATAATTTAGAAAAAAATAATACTCAGATGGATTTATGATTTTAATTTGAAAGCTCCTTTCAATAGCGCAAGTCATAACTCATCCATGCTTACGTATTTTTTTTTGTATTCTTAATACATCGGATTCAATTCCTACCATAAAACCATGAAATCTTTGTAACATCACTCAACTCATACCCTATTGGTTGGTTTGTTTGAATATTGTTCTTGTGGTGGAATAAACTCTTTTGCAATGTTATCTCACCTTATAAATTTTTTTTTCCTTCTTTTCTTAGATCCAATTAACAAGCTTTGGTAGGATAAATATATATTAGATTTGGTGGGACTGGCAGGGGCCAGGGATTCTTTCTCAATTTTGTTTCAGCATTTTAAAACAGAAAAATTGTCGATGTTAGCTGGGAAAGAAGGAACTGAACAATACACTAGAGCAGACCTTCAGCCTATTTGCAAAAGGACTTCTTGTTTAGTGTCATCCCTCCCCCAACTTACACACTTATACACACATGTACATACATAAACACAAATACACACAGCATACTGAAATTATCATAGGATTTTAGGGATGGAAAGCATCTTTAGCATCATCTAATTCAACTCATTCTTTTTGCAGATGATGTAATGAGACTAAGATAGAGGAAATGATTTGCTTAAGGTCACACAGCTAGTATAAAGACATGGGATTTAGAGTCAGAAGCCTCTTTGATCTTGTCTCTGTCTCTTACTAACTATGCAATTTCAGGTAAGCTGCTTCATCCCTCTGGACCTCAGCCTTTTCATCTGTAAAAATAAAGGGTTCAACCAGATCAGGAGTTTTTAACCTGGGCTGCATGGATTTCAGGGGTCTGTGAACTTGGACAGAAAAACACTTAAATATTTTTCTTTATTTTCACCCACCTTTAACTGAAATATAGCACTTTCTTCAACTTGAATGGTAAGCAACAGACACCATACTGAGAAGGGCTTCCTAGGCTTTATCATATTGCCAAAGTGGTCCATTGCACAAAAAAAGTTAAGAATCCAGGGGCTCGATGTTCTCTAACATACCTCCAAATTCTAAATTCCCATGGGTGGAGGTGGAGCCAGAGCTTTAGACTCTGAATCCAGCACTCTATCAGCACTCTATGCTAGGCATTGAAGATCCTTAAGTCAGACTCACCTGCTTCTTTAAGCATAAGGAGACCTCTCTTGGCTTCCTCCAGGGGAAGCACAAATGATGTTTTAGCAGTATGGAAGCAGAAACCACATTTGTAGTTACACTGGCGTGTGAAATGATAGTTGACACTGACAGGGTTAACAGAGACCCCTGCTGCATCTTCGTCTCCTGCAATCTCTTCTCTTTTCCCTTCTATCTTCTCCCTGGGCTGACTGCTCCTTTTGCCACATGCAAACCATAGCAGTGTCCCAAGTGGGGAGTATAAATGTATCAGGATCTTCCACAGAGACGTCAGCAGCTGGAGGCTAAAAGCATAAAGTAGCTTCTCAGCAAAGCCGGTTAGCATGAGCAGCCACATCTCTGCCAGCTGTCTGACTGCTGTGCACAGCACACCACTGTAGCTCACTTCAAATCCTGCTGTTAAATATGCAGAGCTCTCATGGGTTAGCTTCTGTGTCACGTGTGGGAGTTGACACTTCTTGTTTTTCTTTTCAATTGAGTAGTTTCGATTTCCTTCCTTAGTGAAATGAAAATTGGAACCCATTCAAGAAATTACATAAGCCATGTTATGAGGAAACGAAATTACTTGTCAGGATTCTGTTTCACTTACTGCTTGCCAGTAGCACAACATTATAGCGTTCTGGATGCCTTGAGGTTGCACCTAAACTTAGGGCCTAGTACTATACTTGAGGATCTTTGGAAGATATTTTCCAGTGGGCCAGTGTCTTGTTTTGATTTTGGGGAAACTTCCTGAGGTTTTCTTATTTTGAACCTCTCCACGGAAGCTGCACTCAAGCTCTCTTATATCCCTAGACTTATTCTAACAGATGATTTTTAGCTTTAAAGAATCAAAGATCTAGAGTTGGGAGGGGGGTATTAGAGGCAGCCAATTTCTCTCACATATATTCTTCCCATTGTTCCACTCTAAATCAGTTTGCCTTTTCCCATGAGCCCTCTGGACCGACAACTCCATAATTAACAAAGGACAAAGGTGCTTTCCTCTCAAATCTTTTTGTTTCTCATTCCTTTCATCTCCTGGCACTCACTAAGGGCCAGGTACTGTGGTCCCAGTACTTTCTGGCTGTAAGAATTAATTAACTAATTGACAATAAATTGTAAACTGACCATTCCAAAGGACTCATGATAAAAAATGCTATCCGCCTCCACAGAGAGGAGTGATGAACTCTGAGTGAAGATTGAACTTTTTTTTTTGCTTTTTTTTGGTTTTTTTTTTCCCTAATGGTTAATGGGGACATGAAAAATAAATAAACTGACTCACTGACATCCTAAGACAGCACAATATATTTTCCCAAGGACATTGACTACAGAAAGGCACCCATTAATTCAAAGTTTCTTAAAATTCATTAGATATTTGGAAAGGAACTATGTAATGCTACTCAGTTTCTCTGCATCTTGTGGGACCCCTTCTTTTCTCCAAATCCTTCCTTCCCCATCAAAACACCTCAACTTCACCCTAGAAACTGAAATTGAGAGTTATATTAGTGGATACAGTTTAGATGAGCATACTAAACTGTATCTGGTAATCAAATAATCATCTGCTGTCTGTACTGGTATATCTTGTGCAAGAATTTGGTAAAAGCATAAGGCATAACTCAGACTGAGTCCAGCACCAACAATCAGTACACATAAAAATGTATATAGCATAAATATAAAGTTAATAAATACACATATATACAATATGTATGTATATATATGTGTATATGTGTATATACATATATATATATATGTATGTGTATACAGGTATATGTGTATATATGTATGTGTGTGTGTGTGTGTGTGTATACACACTTATATACTAGTTAAGTACAAGTTAGTTTGGGATAGAGGCCATTATTAGTTAGAGGCATCAGGAAAGCTTTCATGAAGAAGATGATGCCTGAGCTATTTCTTAGAGGAAGGGAGGGATTTTTGTGAGAAGTAAGGAGGCATGCCATTCCAGGAATAGGGAACTGCCAGTACAAAGGCATGAAGACAAGAGATGGAGTGCCAATACTGAGAAAGCTAGTTTAAAGTTAAAGATAATGTGATGTCAAGATTACAAGCTTGAGAAGCAGGAAAATGGTGGTATCTTTAGTAGAAAGAGGGAACTTTGGAATAAGACAAGGTTTGGGAGGTGGAAGATAATGTATTCAGTTGTGGATATGTTGAATTTAAGATTGTACTATGATATTCCGTTTTAAATGTCTAACAGGTAATTGGTGATGAAGTCTGAAGCATGGGGAAAGGACTGAGGCTTAGGCAAGCAGGAAGGGTTGGTGGGATGTGGCATGGCTGGAGACCTCCAGGCAGTGCTGGTGGAGGCCAGGAACAGAGCAAGCATAAATCTGGTCTATCAAATCCCAGAAGTGGTTCCTGGGGTTGAGTTCAGTTTCTTAGTTAGAAGGAATATTTATTGAACATCATTACAGTGAAAAAAAAGTCTCATACATATGTGTATATATACATATATGATATATATGTATACAGATATATGATATATGTATACACATATACAATATATATGTATACACACACACATATATATATATACACACTGTGTGTGTGTAGAGAGAAAGAATATATTTATTGAACAATAAATTGAACCTCAATAATACATGAAGGGGGGGAAGGGAATAAGCATTTATATAGCACCTCCCATATGCCAGGTATTGTTGTTCTTCAGTCACGTCTGACTCTTCATGACCCCATACGGGGTTTTCTAGACAAAGGTATTGCAGTGGTTTCTTCTCCAGCTCATTTTACAGATGAGGAAACTGGGGCAAACAAGATTAAGTGACTTGCCCAGGGTTATACAGCTAGTAAGTGTCTCAGTTTGGGTTTGAACTCAGGTCTTCCCTTCTCAACTCCAGACCCTGTGTGCTCTGTCCACTGAGCCACTTAGTCATCTTACCAGGTGTTGTGCTAAGGGGTTTTTACAAATATCCATTTGATCTTCACAACATCTTTGAGAGGTTGAGGCTATTATTATACTTATTTTGCAGTTGAAGAAATGGAGGCAGAGGTTAAGTGACTTGCTCGGGTTCATATATCAGCAAGTGAGAGAGAGAGAAAGAAAGAGAGAGTATGTTTATTGTGTAACAAATAATTAAATAAATAATGAATCTTAATAGATAGATAATAAATAAATGAACAAATGAATGAATGAATGAATGAATGAATAAATGCATATCTAAGGCTAGATGTGAAGTATAGGACCCTGCTACCAGCTGCCTCTAAGGCTTCCAATTTACCTAGAAATTCCAATATATATGATATGTTCTCTACTACATAATATTCTAAGTTCTATGAAATTATAGAATGTTAGAAGTGTGTGACATTAGAGACCAAATAATCCAACCTCATTTTTAATTGGCAAAACTGAAACCCAAAAAGGCCTTGTGACTTGTCCAAACTCATATATCAAGTTGTTGATTAAATTAATACTAGTACTCAAGACCCCCGACTTCTAGTCCAATGCGTTTTTAAATTTAATTTTTTTTTTACCAGACCACATTCCTATTTTCTAATTACATTTGGGGGTACATTTGAGATGCTTGAGCCTGAAGTATAAGTATAGATTGAGGAGAGAGCCTATAGCACTTGGGGTAAAAGGTTAATAGAGGGCTAGTCAGCCCAAAATGATTTCAAAGTATCTACAAGCATAGCTCATTTTATTGTGCTTCACTTTATTATGCTTTGCAGATATTGTGTTTTTTACACATTTGAAGGTTTGTTGCAACTCTGTGTTAAGCAAGTCTGTCAGTACCATTTTTCCAACAGCATATGCTCATATGGTGTCTCTGTGTTACATTTTGGTAATTCTCGAAGTATTTCAAACTTTTTCATTATCTGCTCGGATGATCTGTGATCAATGATATTTGATATTACTTTTTGATGTTACTTTGATGTTAGAATTATTTTGGGGAGCCCAAGAACTACACTGATAGGAGATGGCAAACTTGATCAATAAATGTTGTATGGGTTTTGACTGCTCCACCAATGGGCCTTCCCTATCCCTTACCATCTCCTCAGGCCTCTCTCTTCCCTGAGACATTACAATATTGAAATTAGTCAATTAATAACCCCGCACTGGCCTCTAAGTGTTCAAGTGAAAGAATCCATCCATTAGATAAGCTTCATTGTTGTGTTTTAAGAAATTGCCACACACACCCCCACCCAACCTTCAACAACCACCATTTTAATTAGTCAGCAGCCACCAACATTGAAGCAATCACCAGCAAAAAAGCTACAACTTGAAGAAGGCTCAGATGATGGTTAACATTTTTTAGCAATAAAATACACATTTTTTTTAAATTAAGGTATGTACCTTTTTTTAGGTATAATACTATTGCACCCTTAATAGACTACGACATGGTATAAACATAACTTATGTGCACTGGAAAACAAACAAAAAAATCTTATGACTCACTTTATAGTGACATTGGATTTCCTGTTGTTTATCTTTCTTTCTCAATAAGGATCAATGACATCACATGGATGATGTCTTGACTTGCGTGTGAATTGGATTTAAGTTAAGCAGAGCTGTGCAAAGTCATCATCCTCACTTTCTTCTCTTTTCTAAATTGAGACTTTTCCCAAGTCTCAGTTTGTCTGAGGCAGCGCCACTCAATGACTAAGGGCTAGGTAAGAATTGAGAGAAAGTATAACCTAATTCATCGGCACAAAATATCGATTCAGGAGGGGAAGACTCTCTTGGTTTCTGTCTAGAACAGAAAGCAACTGCTATTTACACTGATTCTAAGCCATCAAAACCTAAAGAAAGAGCCACCAAGGCTTAGGCTTGGAGCTATTACTGGCCATTCAATGAAAGCCAGAGCGATTTGGGTTTAAACGCATAGGCAGCTGTTTGTCTGTTTGTTTTTAAACAGGCTTTATTGGGGTTATCTAGAACCAAAACCGCAATATCTTTGTATGCCTATATACATCACCATATTGTGTGCATTTCCTGGTTCTTGATCTTCTGCCGAATAACTTCATCTGAATGAAATCCAGATAATGTAAATACTAAGGGCAGTCTTAAAGGGGTAGGAAATGCCACAATAAGGTAACCCAAAGCTTACAGAGCCAAGATCAGGAGTAAGCCAGTTCCAGCTTGAAGACACCATGGATGAGTCTCTCAGGTCCAGGAAACTGTGGTAAATTGGAATGAATACTGGACCTGGAGTCATAAGAGTCCTGGGTTTGAATTCCAGCATTAATTATTTGATGCTCAGAGAGTAACATTAGAGCTTCAACCTCAGTTACTAGCCATTTCAAGGAATATTATGATGAAAGAGACATAAAATCCAAAATATTATAGGGATGAGAGCTCTGTTATTATTAATCTCTGCTACTGAGTTCCTTGAAAACCTGGTTATTGTAGTTACTCTGACCCATGAAAATCAACACGCCACATAGTTTGCT